TCTTCCACACCAGTATATCCTATTGTGATGAAAGCTCACTTCTCTGACAAGTTTCTTCTTCCCTACAGTTTATATCAGCATGATAACAATGCAAATATCAGCCTGATCTAACACTAGAGGGAGTATTTTGTCTCCTCTGATATTTCCAGTCACCATAGATATGGCTGTGGCAAGTAACTCATTGTGCTTGGTATCCTTTCTCCACTGTTGGGGTAAACTTCTACTTGGGTTAAGATTTACACAACAACAACACTCACTGGATAGTCCAGGATTTGCACCCAAAATGGGAGTTGGTTTAACAGGATTGGGGATGGGGGTCAAGGGTTTGGGATACTCTATTAACATAGCATTTCAGAATATCCGGAAGTTGGCAAATTGTTCAATTGCATCTTAACTTTGAAGCTGATATTCTGTTGTTCTTCAAAGAACTTACAGAAAACAAGCTTCAAAATGAGGGTGTATTTCTTACACTCTGAAACGCTATATTAATGGAGTAAATCTGTACCCAGGTGGCATTTCTACCCACACAATGTTAGATTTACAAGGTGTGAGTTCTGCGGCAGTGCAAATGTTACAGAATTGCTGGGTGTGATTTTGCAGAGTTAACATGACATTAATGTTTCTCATTTTACAAACCTTTGATTCTCACAATGCTAATTTGTTTTGGTTAGTCAGGTGTCTGACACACGTGGAAACCCATCAACACGCTTAACAGTATCCAAACCAAACTGGGTTTCCCCCAGTGACTGATCTGCCTTTCCAGGTCCTGCCGATGAGCCAGGCTGGCTGTGCTGTCATCAGCAGTGTCCTGGAATACTGCGGGCCCGCCTGGCTCACGAGCCGGACTCGAGACCGTCGCAGAGGTCTGGCTCGATTCCAACATTCCATTGCTAGTTATGTCACGGTGGAGCCAGTTCAGCTCCAAGGAGGTCCTGCTCACTGCTCCCCCAAGGAGATTACAAATGGAGATTACAAGGAACGCCCCCTCACATTGATAAAATACAAAGGAGTCGGTTAATCGGACAAGACCAACTAAACCATTCAAATAAATGTAACAACAACAACAACAAAATTACATTTATGTAGTGCCTTTCACGTCGAGAGGACGTCCCAAGGCGCTGGACAGATAGAGTTACGGACCCGAGCGGAGGTTTGGGGTGGGGGAGGGGGGAGGGCAGGGGGGGAAGCAGGGAGATCGAAAGCATAAAGAGGAGGGTCTTGAGGCGGCTCTTGAAGGTGACGAGGGAGGGGGTGAGATGGAGGGACTGCGGGATGGAATTCCAGAGGGTGGGTGCAGAGTGGCGGAGGGCCCGCCCGGCGATAGTGGGGCGAACAAGGTGGGGGAACGTGAAGCAGGTCAGAGCCCGCTGGGCGTAGGGAGCGAACAGGATGGTAGGGGGTTAGGAGGTCACATGGTGACTACATTTACACCATGCAATCAAGATGATCTCAGTTGAATACAGTTTCTCAGAATTTGCATTTCCCTACCCTCTCGTCAATCTATTGGTTCATTTTACCTCCATCTGAATGCTTATACTATATTTTTAATTCACATTAAAGTGCAGGTAGAAATTACTACTGGACATTAATACTGTACTAAACCAATGTGAATCTTACAGCCAAATCAAGCCCCAAATTAAAAAGATGCCTCTTGATTGACAGTTGTCCCTGCTTATTGATTGATTGTAAAAATGTTAATTGTGTGACTCATATACGTTAAATTATTTCATTCCTGGATAATACTGGTTTCCAGGGAATATCTCCTGATTCAGAGTCTGCTCGCAGGAGTTCATCGGCTCCCGCTGAACAAGCCTGTCACAATGTTATAATAGTTAGTGTACAGGTGCTGAAACCATGAGTTCAAGTCTACAGTTTAAAGTCAAATCCTACATTATCGTTAGAAAGGTTCAAAAGTCTAGACTTTCACTGTTAGTTTTTGAACTCCACTACTAGCTCTAGCACTTTGCATAATGCAGGCAAAATGTCACCTTACACAAAAACAAACTAGCCCTGTCCTGCCAAATCTGTGGAACAATATTGAAAGATTTGAATGTTCATTTGCAATCTTCCACGTGCTGTGGATACTACTTTAAATCAATGATGAAATTCACGAATGAATGTTTCCCTTTGGAAAATCTTTCCTCTACGTCACGTGTGGTGTTGGCTCTATACAGGACTGGCCTTGAATCTGAAGTAGACATTAATAATCGCTGCATTTGGTATACCGCCTTTCAAATCAAGAAAATGTCTTAAAGCTGTCCAGCACCTAGGGACGTCCTCCCAACTTAAAAGGGGCTATATGAATGTAATTTTGCATTGTATTCTATGCGCCACACTTGTTTGGGTTTGCCCAGACAGCAAGGGGAGTATTTGTTGTGGGTGTCAAACTGAGTGATGATCACTGTAGCTTGACATCCAACAAATCACAAGCTTGTTATGTGGGTTTGTTGTGAGGTTAGAATCTAACCATATTGCATGGGTTGAGCAGTATTCAGATGACCACTGCACCAAGTTTCCATCTTCAGCATCTTGTGAAAAATATTTCATTTGTGATAGAAGTCTACAAATACCATGTTTGACAGCAATTACTTGTGAAGCACATTGAGACGCATGGACGTTACGAATGCTATATCAAATCCAAAGATTATTTATTATATGTTTTATATTATCTTTGTAGATAATAATAACAATAAACCTTGCATTTGATGTCGTGTCTTATCATGTCGTTGAGAGGTCTCAAAGCGCTTCACAGCTGTATTTATATATATGTGTGTGTGCGTTTCAGCTGGGTTCTGCAAACCGAGAGAGAGGTGGCATGGTAAGGAGAAAGAGGGAAGAGAGCCAATACTGCAGCACAAAGGCAACAACAACAACTTGCATTTGTATACCGCCCTTCACACGAGGTAGCATCCCTGAGCACTTGACAGTGGCGGAGTTGAATCCAAACTGGGGGAGAAGGAGACGGAGGTGTCCGTAGGCACGATCAAAAAGGAAGATCTTTAGGTGGGATTTGAAGATGGGGAGGAAGGGGGCAAGGTGGAGGAATTGAGGGAGAGAGTTCCAGAGTTTATGCGCATAGTGGTTGGAGGCACGGCCACCGCTGATTATTTAAATTATCGAAATTATTTAAATCATTTATTTATTTGAAGGCAACTGATACTTGCAAAAGGAGGATGAAAAGAGCTTGATGGAGCATTTGGGAAAGGACAAAGAATCTTGTGACACGTCTTCTAAAGGAAAAGTTTTTCTTGTGTGTTCTATCAAAAAATTTGTAGGACGTTCCCATGTTGTGTGGAAGATCATAAACAAGGTGTATTCAATTCCAACAGTATTGTTTTATAGGCTTGCCGGGTGAGGGAGAGTTTATTAAAATCAGATGACATTTCATCCACATTATGTAAGCAATAAACTTAGTTTACACACTGTGGGCTTTGATACAATTCAAATCTGGTGAAGAATCAACCAATTATTCTCTGCCTCTTTAGACGAAACCTAATCTTGCCAATGTTTAGTTAATATTGATGGTACAAGCAGGTTTGTTCACTGATAACCTAGATGTAACTGTTTTGCAATTTTAAAAATTACACACAATGAAATGACTTGTTTGAATATATCTTCCATGGTTAAATAGATTGTCACAGCTTAGTTATCACGATTTAATACAAAATAATTATACTATCATAAACTTCCCCTGAAAATTATTGATACAATTGGGAATTTCTGGGGTCATGATTTGGTACTCCTATAGACCCCTTCCTTCCTAAAATAAAGTTCTGCACTATTCAGTCACACGTTATACTTCATTAAAATAAATCCCCCCCAAAGTACTTCTGTGGTCGGAACTTCTAAATTATGTAAATGACTCTGGAGAACTTCCTCAATTCCACACTGTAACAGTCGTGTCTTGTTACAGATGTTGTGATGAAGGTCAGAAACTCCCCTGACACATGAATTCAATTAACAGTGCATTTTTTAGGGCAGCTTTACTTTTTTTTTCATTTCTTTCACTTTTACCCCAGGGCACCAGTCAATCAATTCTCAAAGTCACCTTGCAGAAATCAGTAGGGAACCCAGCCACATTTTGCTGCATTAAACAACTGTCTGAAAACCTTGGGAGATTAAGTCAGAGGTGAATCTTTGATCATCTGTAAATGAACTGACCTTAACAGGCAAAGTGTATCTTAAAATTAAATTCATCAACGTTTGAAGAATGACCACTTTGATGTCCAACTCATCCCCTTAATGTTGTTGATCAACTACAAGAGTGAAAAGCAAAGTCGCAGTCAAAAAGAAATACAAACTCTATATAAAAAAACTTAATCGTTCTCTGATCATGTTATGTGATTGCATTAAAGCAGGAGATTCCAGATTCCAAGATCTTGTGTAATGTGATTGAGCAATCAATCACACTGCAACTTGTCCTCAAAATTTAGTTTCCGCTTTGTTGTAAAAATTCTATGCATTGGGTATGTCATTCATTTTCATGATTAAATAGATTTGTTTTTATAACAAATTATTTTGTAACTAATTAATTGCATCAATAAGAACATGTTTAACATTGTAGGCAGCGATAAATTATAATGTTACATTTTGCGAGTTTGATTGAGGCAGTATATGTTTGTCTATATATAATATTTATAAATTTCACCTAAAATATAAACGCTAACCTGTATTTGTTTTTTTAAAAAAAACATTGTCTGAATTCACCTATAGATATAAGAAATAAAGTTAAAAAAAAACATACAGCTGTAATACCAGAGAGGAAAAAAATACAAAGAGGAAGTTAAACAAACTCTCATAGCTGGTGTATTTCCACTGGGTGTATTTCCTTTGTTGCACACCTTTCCATGACCTAACTTATGTCAATGGGAATTTCCTGATCAGTCAGGTACAGTATATATACACACACATATCAATGCTCAAAATCACACAACTCCTCAGCTAAAGATTGAGAATCATTCCTGGAGAGAAAAAAGTGATACAATGACTGCTCTGAGGAACCTCGCAGTGTCTCTTTTGCTCTCACTGATGATGCTGAACATGCTCAATAGCCCAGTAACAGCATGTAAGTCTCAATCTGTTATATTCTGTTCTCAGTTATTCCGTTCATTTTTGTGAAGCATTATGTTGAATTCTATAATGTGTGCACCTGTTCATTGTATTTACTGTAGATTTTTTTTTTCGATTGCAGCTTCCATTGTAGATTGCTGTCTTGGTTACATAAAAGGGAGGGTACCAATGAAACATATCGCTGGCTATGTGGAACAAAATTCCAATGAAATGTGTGACATTGATGCCATTATGTAAGTGCAAATTTGTACATTTGTATAAGCGCCTTTCACATCAGTAAGACATCATCTCACAGAGCTGACTGTGTACAATATAGTACAGTACAAGACTCTGAGACATCAGACAGAGCGACTGGAAAATAATTACTTTAATAATATAATAATAATACTTGCATTTGGTATAGCGCCCAATCATGTTTTCGAGATGTTTTCACAGAATATACTGTAAAGTGAATTGACTGTATATGTTGTGGGCGATGTATATTGTATATTTGTGGGTGATGTTCTTTCGATAACTTATTTAAACATTGTTTCACAGACTCCAGACTTTTGGAGGACTGCAATACTGCACCAATCCCAAACGCACCTGGGTGAAAATTGTATTGAGACGGCTGAGGTAAACTCCAAATTCTGCCACATATTGTAAAATTGCTGTTAAGATATGCAGGATAATGGAGCAGCTTTTGATTTAAAAATTTTAAGCTTAGAAAGTCGCAATTAGTTAAAACTTATCTTATAAGAATTTCATTTTTTACACAGTTCAAAATTGATTCAAATGTTTCTAAATTCTGCATCAATATTTTACATGCCTTTTCATGCTAAGAAAGAAAGGTACTGTGATGACTTGCAGAAACTGCAGCTTATAGCGGAAAGGAACATTTTTCTTACACTCATCTGTAGAATAACCGTTAAAAATCTATCAGGTAAAAACATAAGCCTTCTGGGGAAGGTTAGAAAAGTTCTGTCATTCTAAATGGCACAAATCGTTGAAGAAAACAGCTTCTGCTGAATGATTCCTGGGTTAAGTCCAGCACATGAAAGAGTTTGAGACAAACTAGAATTAGCAGTGCACCAAATAAATAGCACTGGATGAGCAACAGAACTTGTTTGTACATAGGAGATGAACAGCATACATAGGAACATCGAAATTAGGAGCAGGAGTAGGCCATTTGGCCCCTCGAGCCTGCCCCGCCATTCAATAAGATCATGGTTGATCTTCTAACCTATCTTCTCATTCCATCTGCCCACCTTATCCCCATATCCCTTAGTCCCTCTAACATTTAGTTGTCGATCAAATTCCTCTTCATCCAAAACTTGCTCTTTCCAGGGCTTCCTCGCCTTGATGTTGTGAAACTTTTTTTTAACGTTCTAATGCAGACAAATGTCTAACTCTTAGCAAAAGTTATTTATAAAAAAGAAACAGATTTAAAGTCATCATATTTAACTTTAAATGTGACCGCAAGTAACTGCGAGAGAATGTTTGTGAAGGTTTAGAATACTATCAAATTAAAAGTTTTGCTTTTTGCAAGTTGAGATGATTTTAAGCTTACCCATTCTTTTTTTTTCTTTTTGTTTTACAGCAAAAGACTGAAGGAAATGTCGAATCAGAGCTAAATTGCTTTGCCAATTTTAAACTATTTCTGTTAAGAGCTTTACTTTTAGAAAAAAAGCATCCCTGCATAGCATCTATGTAACAATGTATTGCTTAATTGCTTGAAGGCAGTATAAGCCATTAATAGTTATTCACATTGTGAATATATTGTAAATGTTCAGCTGAACATGATCGTATTGTTTTTTTACATTTGTTGATTCATAATATTGAGTTGTTTTCAATGCTTTTTCATGGTATCACTGTCTGTTACAATAAAGCGTATGATAAGATTAATAAGTTTCGTATTATGGTGTGTTCTTTTTCAACAAACAGCACTTTGTAAATGTAATTGATGATTTTGATGTCTCTGGATCAAGATAAAGAGCCTTGAGGGCCATGTTAATGACTAAGAAGAAAGTACTTTGACGGTAGCAGATTAACCTCCTACCTCAGTGGCATAGCTTTCCACTCCTGGAATAAACACTAGTCACAAGTCGAATGTTCTTAATCAGTTTAATGCAATCCCAAGGGGGAAAAAAAATTGGTCACTCAATCCATGATTGTTTGTGCTACACTGCTGTGCACAATTGGCTGCCGCGTTTCACCCACAAAATATACAGTCAATTCACTTTACAGTGTATTCCGTGAATTCTAGTTTCAAAATTTGCTCTTATAAAGTTGATTCAAAAGCAAGCAGTTATCTTTCTCGTGGTGAAGCCTGGTATGGAATTGCCACATTTAAAACTTACAGCAACTTTCATTACTTCCAATAACAATGTGCAATGTTGTCTCGAAGATGTGATATGGCGCTATATCAAATGCAAGGATTATTTTATTATTACTATATATAATGACAGAATCCCAGTTACAGTAATCCTTGTTCAAGGGATTTAGCTGATACATGGGAATGGATAGTGGCCAACTTCTCCTGGGTGTGCTTTATAAATATTACTGCTCCTGCATCATTTGTAAACTCCTAAAACATGGGAGGGAAATGGTAATTTTGTATAAACCACTGAATAGCTGAAGCCAGAAACAAGAGATTTTCATTTACAAAACATAACCATTAGGACAGTTAGATAAACAAGCCAAAGGATAGGAAAGCTTAAAATTTGCTCCCGAAATAAAAAAATGAATTGGTGCCACCACAGTAAAGCTTTCTGCTCAGTCTCTTCAGTCCAGTAGCAGGTTTAACCAACAGTAGAAACACCAGGAAGGTTCATTGCAGAATTATTACATTCCTTTCTAGTGATATCACTCAGCCCAGCGATCCCCAAGTCAACATTGCTGCATATAAATACGTCAGAAACGACATGGCTCATCAGGAATCATTTCTGTACTGAAGAAATCACTAAAAGCAATCAATGGTATAATGACTGCTCTCAGCAGCCTCAAGGTGCCTGTTTGGCTCTCACTCTTGGTGCTGACCATGCTCAACAGCCAGTGTCAGCATGTAAGTCTTAATCAGTTGATCACTTAGTTCCGTATTATTTAGACCTCATACTAATCCACTTGAAACAATAAAGCAGCAGCTTCAAAATGTTTAACATACATTTTCCATTGCAGCACTGCGAGGAGATAGCTGTCTCAACTACGCAAAGAGGAAGTTGCCATTTAGATTAAACGCTGGCTATGTGATACAATAGTCCAATTATATCTGCGACACAGATGCAATCGCGTAAGCCCGAGCACACAGTTACGTTATATCTTTGCAAATATTTATGCTGCAAGTGCAATGCAAACATTGCCCTTTCTGATGTTTGTGTCTGTGGCTGTAACTGAGAAAAAATAGAAAAAAATATGCAGCAGGTCTGTGATCGTTCTTTATTCACTTTTGTTATAAGTCAAATTAGTGTCTGTATGCAATCAGATTGTTTCACTGCCTTGTTTGACTTATTGCCTCCAGAGGCAGTCCTCAGGCTCATCAATTTCAATCACAGTGCAACCTTTTTATAGAGGGATATTGTCCACCTGAACAAAATAGACTTGTTTTTTTATTAGCATTATCACATTTCCAGATTTAATGTCGGTAGCAATTTGGGCTGTACATGTAACATGTTGTAGAAGAGATTATCCATAAATTATTCAGAACAACTGGAAAGTCATTAGTTTTGATAATGTTCCTTTAAATTAGGAAATCCATATCAATGTTTCTTCAGATTCGTGCAGTTAAAGGAAATGAAATATGTGCAAATCCTAAGGCCAAATGGGTGAAAAGAAGACTGAAATACCCCTGGTAAGTGCATTCATTGGTGTCACCATTAAACCATAGAAATAGAGTATGTGAATGGAAGAATAAGTCAATGGGTTTGAGTTTTCAGCAAAATACTGCACAGTAAATCCGAATGCAAAAACTGAGAGAGCTGGGAAAACTCCGCAGATCAGGCAGCATCTATGGAGAAAGTAAGTCAACGTTTCGGGTCCACGACCCTTTGTCAGAACTGAGGCATGTTGGGAGGGAGAGGTTTTCAAGGACAAATTGAGAGGGGGAGACAGGACAAGTCAGACAAAGAAGCCAAAAATAAGACAAAGGAGAGAATGTGTTGGTTGATGGGCTAAAGGGGGTGGGGGGGGGGGGGGGGGGTGTAAAGCAAAAAGGTGGGGTGGGTTGAAACGAAACTGGGGAGAAGAGGTGTTAATAGTGCAGAATAAGCAACACACCAGAGAGAGAAAAAAATGAGCTGTTATGGTCTTAAGTGGCTGAAATCGATATTGAGGCCAGAGGCCTGTAGGGTCCCGAGCAGACAGATAAGATGCTGATCCTCAAGCTCTCTCTGTGGATCATTGCAACAGTGTAGGAGACCATGGATGGAGAGGTCAGACTGTGAATGGGAGTGTGAGTTAAAATGGCAGAGACCGGAAGATCAGGGTTGACCTTGCATATAGAAAGGAGGTGTTCTGCAAATCGGTCACCCAATCTGTGCTCAGTCTCCCCAATATAGAGGAGATCAGACCGTGATCAGCGGATACAGTATACTACATTGGTGGTTGTACGCTGTCTTACATGGAAGCTGTGTTTGGGGCCTTGGATAGTCTGGGAGGAGGTGAAAGAGCAGGTATTACATCTCCTGCACTGGCATGGGAAGGTGCCAGAGAACGGAGAGCAGCTGGTAGTGCTGACGGTGGAATGAACTAAGGAATCCCGGAGGGAACGATCCCTTCAGAATGTAGAAAGGGGAAGGAAATATGTGTTTGGTGGTTGAGTCACACTGGAGGTGCCGGAAATGTCGGAGAATGATGTGCTGAATACTGAGGCTGGTGGGCTGGTAGGTGAGGACTAAGGGGACCCTATCACAGTTCTGGAATGGAGGGGAAGGGGTGAGGGCAGAGGTGCTGGAAATAGGGCGGACACAGTCAAGGGCCTTGGCTATTACTGTCGATGGGAATCCTCAGTCGAGGTAAAATGAGGACATCTCGGTTGCTCTGGTGTGGAAGGTTGCATTGTCAGAGCAGATGCGGTGGAGGCAGAGGAACTGGGAAAATGGGATGGCATCTTTGCAGGAGGCTGGGTGGGATGAGGCGTAATCAAGGTAGCTGTGAGAGTTGGTGGGCTTATAGAAAATGTCTGTGGATAGTCTGTTACCTGACGTGGAGATAGTGAAGTCGAGGAAGGGAAGGGAAGAGTCAGTCATGGTCCATATGAATTTTATTGAGGGGTGGAAGGCGGAAGCAAAATTTATAAATGCTTCTAACTCACTGCGAAAGCAGGAAGTGGCCCGGCACAGTCATTGATGTACCCGACGAACAGGTCAGGGAGCGGACCTGAGTAGGACTGAAACAAGGAGTGTTCCAGGTGGCCAACAAACAGGCTGGGACTCATGCGGGTTCCCATAGTGACACATTTTATTTGAAGGAAGTGGTTGGAATTGAATGTGAAGTTGTTCAATGTCAGAACAAGTTCAGCCAGGCGGGCAGAGGAACGTGGTGGTGGATGGAGACTAGTTTTGCCGTTGATCAAGGTGGAACCGGAGGGCCTGGAAGCCATCCTTGTGGAGGATGGAGGTGTAAGGGGCTGAATGTCCATTGTGAAGAGGAGACGTTCAGGACCAGGGAACCGGAAATTGTCAAAGTGGCGGAAGGCCTCCGAGGAGTCACGGATATAGGTGGGTAGGGATTGGATGAGGGGAGCAAAAATGGAGTCCAGATAAGACAAGATTAATTCGGTGGGACAGGTTCAGGCTGAGACAATGTGTCTACCAGGACAGTCCTGTTTGTAGATTTTGGGGAGGAGGTACAGGCTGGGTGGCTATGAGGTTGGATGCTGAAGGAAGGAAGGTCACCAGAGGAGATGAGGTCATTGACTACCTCGGTGATGGTGGCTTGGTGTTGAGCTGTGGGGTCATGGTCAAGGGGAAGGTAAGAGGAGTTGTCAGTGGCCTCTGCCAGGTAGAGGTCCTTTCGCCAGAGCACGGAGGCGGAGGCAGCGGAAGAAGACCTCAGCATCATGCCGGGATCGAAATTCATTGAGATAGGGGCGTAAGGGGGTAAAGCTCAGGCCTTTACTGAGGACGGATCGTTCGGGATCAGAAAGTGGGAGGTCAGAGGGGATGGTGAAGATACAGCAGGGAGTGGGATTGGCGGGGAGGGATGGGGTCAGGAGAAGGCAAAGTGGGGGAGGGTTCAGGAGGTGGGTTGGCACCCAACAGTCACCTGGGGTTTGTGATCCTTGCCATCTAAAAGAAAAAGGAACAGTTTTTTTTGATGAGGCGCCGAATGAGGCAATGGATGAAATAGAGTTGAGGACGAGGGCAGTTCTGAGACAAAGTGTGTCGGTGCTGCTGAAGGGAAAGGTCAAGTGTATGCATGTGACGTCACGTGCTGGAGAGAGTGGATCTCATGAGGCAATGAGAGCAGTGATCAGAAGAGCGTTGCGTTTCGCGGAGGTATCTGTGGTCCTGGGTGGAATTGTTTTACAACCCCCCCCCCCACCCCCCTTTCGTTTTACGCCACTGTCACCTGTTTAACACATCAACTAACCCATTCTCTGCTCTGGAATATTGATCCATTGTCCCCCAGAAGTTTGAGAGATCCCACTGTTTTCAATAGGAAGTTGCGTTTTGCTGCTCCCTCGCCCATAGATATTAATCCAAATAGTCCAACTGTTCAGAAGAGCTAACTGAGCATAAACTGGTAATCAGCATACGGCCGCATTTGTCTTTATCCACCATGTATGAGGGGAGCA